ATTTTTAGTCCTCCAATAACAGTTAAAATCACAAGTTTTCTTATAGATGAAATGTTAAGTATTTATATGAATTAGCCACTTTTTTCAAACTATATAAGATAGTTACATTTCCTCTTGATATTGTTATTTTTAATGAGCAGCCTTATTGGATTCAGAAGTCAGCATTGTGCCTGCTGGTTATATAAATAAATGAGATTGGATTACAAAATGCCTTCTTTAAATATTCAAGAAAGTCAAAAAGACTTTTCTTAAAGGGCACCTGTAATGAAAATCATCTTTTGTAAGCTGTTTGGACAGAACTGTGTGTAGGTATAGTGTGTCCACAGTCATATCATAGTGATAGAAACACAATAAGTCTCTTTTTTTATTTCCTGATGTTAAAATAGGATCCAAATCCCTCCCATTTTAAAGCCAACCGCAACATGACGTAGGAGTGCGGTTTACCCACCCACTGAATTGATTGACAGCCACACTTTAACGTGTCTCTGTAGTAACGCATATAATCTTATCAACAAGACAGGACAAGCACAAAGCAACTGGGATTAAAAGATCTGTTCAGCTCGCTGTGATCATCAATCATCATGAAATGTGATCAAGAATGTGTTTTACAAGTTTAAATCATAAAAATGGAAAGAGTGCATTTTACCGTCTTTACCACCACAGCTGCAGGTCAGTACAATAATAAAAGAAGATTCTTCAATCCCGTTTGTGGATGTTAAATCAGGTTAATTTTTAACATTAACATAACAGATATCCATAAAGCAGTGGATATTAACATGTATCCTGTCACAAGTTAAACGCGCACTGTGTGTGTATATCCGTGAGTACTGTGTGTGTGTGTGCGTGTGTCTCTGTGTGTGTGCATGAACAACATTGTAACAACATTGTGTGTGACTCATCGAAAGGCTTGAATTAACTTCACAACAAATACATCAAATAATCATTGGGAAAGTTCTTACTGTAGTATTTCTCATAAATGTTGCGTGAGATCTGCATACTTCATGTCTGTCGCTGTGCTCTTTATCTGACGCAGCCGAGGCGAAGTAGCGGCACACTCTGACAGGCACGTGGGAATGGTGAGGAAAACCAGCATTTAAGGCAAAGGCAACAAAAACAGCGACAACAGATACAGAGAGCTGAAAATTACAAACTTCAAAAAAAGTTTATAAATAATCTGATGGGTGTTTTGAGCTGCAACTTTACAAACACACTCTGGAGACACAAAAAACTTAACTTAAATGTTCAAAAAGGGTAAAATAGGTGTCCTTCGGGCTCTAGGTTAACTGGGTAAGCTAAATTGACCATGGATGTGTGTGAATAAGATTGTGTGGGTGTTTCTCGGTGATGGGTTGCAGCTGGAAGGGCATCCGCTGTGTAAAACATATGCTGGATAAGTTGCCGGTTCAATCCGCTGTGGCGACCCATGATTAAAAAAGGGACTAAGCTAAAAGAAAATGGAGCTTCTGCATACTTCATGTCATAAAACTGATTTTTGTAAATGTTGCATCATTTTGGCAAGGTTTGTGAGGTTTTCGGTACCTTCTAATAATAAATTTGTTCAGATTAATGTTTCAGAGCCAAAAAAACTAGCACAGTTTGATTTTTAAATCTTGAATATTCAGATTTTTATTTCATGCAGTTTAGCTAAAAAAAAAAGTGCAATAATACACACCATTGTCTGTGACACCCATAAAATGAATCCCTGATTCACACTGAAGAAGACCACATCAATATTAGAAACCCCTTCACTCAGGCTAGACAGACAAATACTTACAAAAAAAAGGGCCAAACGGAGGACACAGATCTCCTAGAGAGCCTAAGTGTCTTATCGTCATAGAGACCAAGGGCTATCACTTTACAGCTAAAAACAAGCCTTTAAACGGCTACTTCTTCCCAGCATGATCCCAAAGATGGGAAACCCCAGCAGCTAACCTGTATTTAATGGGGGCCTCTGAACCTATGACCTTTAGGAGCCTGAGGGGAATTTCTTCGTGATGACTTGAGGAGAAGCGGTTACCCAGTAAACCTGGTGACAAGAAAGATCCACCATGTGGCTTAACATTACTGCATAAACATTGAATTGTGTTAATATTTTGATATAATAATTGATTTTTTGATTTTGTGGTTCAGATTTGTCACTCTCCATTGCTGTAGAAGGATAAGGGTATGAGTCTGTCTTGAGGTGAGAAAGAGTTTGTTTGTGTGACCCGCTTGGTGGCTTAAAACTGGACCCTACAGAGTGATGAATGATGGAGAAACCAGACCTACTGCAGCAAGGAGTTCAGTTTCACTCAACAGCTCCGTCTTGCTCTTATTTTCTCCATCATTCTTATTATTTCTACTTATTCTCACTTCACACACATGCACACACACAAATATACAGGAAAAATCTTAGACATATTGTATAAACTTGAGAACTACTTCACATTTTTTGCCTTAATGATGACAGATGGCCATGAGTGTGAAAAGCCTAAAGACCACAGCATCGCTCAACAAAGAATTATGAACTCTTCATACCAAATGAAAGCCTTACTGTGGCTCATAAATCCACAGCTTACCTTAAAAAGAGAGAATGAATGTTAAATATTTTCTTTTAACTATTGGTTGAGAAACATGCTTGTAAAAATGGTTCATCATCAAGTCTTTTAAATATATAAATTTGAATATTAATGCATCACACTTAAACAATCTTTAAAACCAGCCTGATCTTGCGAGGAAACGTAAGAATTTTACGTTTTGTCAGTTTAGTTGCTAATTCGTACAAATTTGAGTTCAGTCGTACGAAAATGTACGATTTTAAAAAGGAGTCATGGCACCTAACCCCACCTCTAACCCCAACGGTCATTAGGTGATGAGCAAATGGTACTAAATTGTACAAATTATATCGTACGAATTCATACGAATTAGCCACTAAATTAAAAAGTTACGAATTGCCTTGAGATTGCGTGTGGTAAAAACACATTTAATTGCCTTCTGTTAATTTTTACAGTAAAGTTGTTAGTTAGTTAGTAAAAGCTGTTAGTTGTTTCATAAAATTATAATGTTTATCATTTAATGTCCGACATTGTTGTTTTGATCATCATGCCTGTAGACAGATGATATGCATGACTTCAGCATTTGAACAATATTGCGTTTGTAATACCTACATTATATAGAGATAATAAGATATCATTTACAAGAACTTTATCGCTCAAACCCATTGCATTTTAGATCCCCAAATGCATTACTTTTTTATTTTTATTTTTATTTTTCATTTTTTACAGTGAAATCACTTTTGCACTACCTGGTACTTGTGGAGCTTGCTCTTCAGTGTTTGGACTTTCAGCAGAGAGGATTAAACCACACTGATCTGAACTAAACTGAACTTCAACTATGAAAAATGGACTGAAACAGTTTCAATTTATAGAACTTCTCTGTTAAGCTGCTTTGACACAACCTACATTGTAAAAGCGCTAGAGAAATGAAGATGAATTGTATTAAATTGATAACTTTTTTTGTCTGCTTCCCCTTGTCCCTCTTTTTGATGCTACTTCTCACCAAGCAATTTTTTGTTTAAAAGACATATTACAGACATCCAAAAATAGACATCTTGGCTAAAAACAAGGTTAAAATTAGGCTGTCAATAAAAATCTAATAGATATCTTACAATAGTCCAAAAATAAAGTTATTAAAAAGAGAGACTTCACAAATGTAATCATTCATTTATGTGTATTTGATTTTGATTAAAAAAATTCAAAATCCACATTTATTCTTCCTAGTCTTGCTCAACATAATGCAACATGAGGAAATTTAAACCTAGAGAATATACTTTTTATAGAATTGACACCAATATGCTTCATTTCAGAAATTCTTTACAGTGGAAAAAAGTACTTAACGGTACATTCACTAAATGTTCTTCACACTAAGAAAAAAAAAAGTTATTTGAAAATTTAAAGGTTCTTTGAGCTATCCCAGCAGGCACACAACACCATACATTGACATAAGCTTAGATTAAGGTCATGACATCAGGTGACCAAAATTCAATGTCTAGCCAGCATCTAAGGACAATGTTATTTTAACATCCAAATACAACATCAAAATAGGTTGATATTTGACTAATTATTCTGACGTCAACCCGAGTTTTATTTCCAAACAAAATCCAACGTCCCCACAACGTTAGGGTAAATTTGGGCACAACGTCCTGTGCCTGCAGGTATGAGTATGAATGAGTCAAAAATGACTTACACAAAAAGTATATACAAAAAAGTTGAAAAAGTTTCAAGTATATTTTTCTAAGGAATACACAAATAAAAAAATCAGTGTTGCATATACGGCTATTTGTATACATTTTTGATTCTTTATGTTAAGATCCTCAAATGCAAATTAAAAAAAAAAAATACAGATTCAGCTAAAATAATTCATTGTTTCATTTTCTTTTCAACAGTCCCTTTATTAATCAGGAGTCACCACAGCGGAATGAACTGGCAACTTATTCAGCACATGATTTACACAGCAGATGCCTTTCCAGCTGCAACCCAGCACTGTGAAATACCCATACACACTCTTTCGCACCCAGGGGTCAGCTAAAATTGTGTAAATGTATTTTTATTTTGTACTACCTTTCTTTTTGTTCCATTTTAAAATATGTATAAAACACATAAAATATGTATTATAGACATAACTTCAGGTTAGGCTAACTAAAGCATTTCTGTTGAATGGGAGTTTGAAATGTATTGTTATTTTGGTATAAAGTTAGTTGACTATCTGAAAGATATGAAAAACTTAAAGTACACTATCTTAACTGAGCAACTTGAATAAACGTAAAAAAAACTGAACCAACCAATGCTGTCAGATTTAACACAAAAGTTGGAGGCTTTAATCACCGTGCTCCGAGAGGAAAAACGTTCTTAAGGCACAACCTATGCTGTAAACAGCATGATCTTGAACAGTGGACATCTGAGCTGCTTCCCTCGCTCCGCCCAGACTTTCCTATGAAGACAGGTTGGCACAGTGAAGAATTCAGTAACCCACGGACGCTCAACTGAAGTAAAGATGCGTGCCTATCTGGCTCTGCTGGTTGCGCTTTCCATCCCGGGATATCTGGATGCGCTTCATGGATTATACGCCTTCGATCAGCCTGAGCTCTTTCAGAAAAAGAGCAACTGTAAGCCCATACCTACAAACCTGCTCCTGTGCCATGACATCGAGTACACAAACATGCGTCTGCCTAACCTCCTCGGACACGAGACCATGAACGAGGTTCTGCAACAAGCATCCTCCTGGACCCCTCTGGTGCAGAAACAGTGTCATCCGGACACCAAGAAGTTTCTCTGCTCTCTCTTCGCTCCGGTGTGTTTGGATGACCTGGACGAGCCCATCCAGCCGTGCAGGTCTCTGTGTGAGAGCGTGAAGAGCGGCTGCGCTCCGGTGATGGCCGCTTTTGGGTTCCCTTGGCCGGACATGCTGGACTGCAGGCGCTTCCCTTTAGATAATGACCTGTGCATACCGCCTGCTGGCGCTGATGCTTTAGTACCAGTCACTAAGGAAGGTACGAAAAGTTTCAAGTCACTATACAAATGCGCGATCAATTCATTTTTATTGTCTTTGACCCTTTCTGTATTGATTATTTTTTCTTTTTTTTTTCTTTTTTTTTTTGCCTAGTTCCAAGAGTATGTGATGCCTGCAAGGAAAAGCCTGAAAATGACAACGAAATTGTGGACAGCCTATGCAAAAATGACTTTGGTAAGGCTACCATGTATAATTTGCTTGCTTTTTTTGCAAATTAATACGTTACTGCGTATAATGCGTTATACTCCGAAAACACATGCTCCAAATAAAAAAACAAGTTGTTCAAAGCAAAGAAAAAATATTTAAAGACATTACTCAGCCATAAATGCAGTTTTACTCACCGTGGTGTTGTTTCAAGACCCTTTTTGTCTATACAATAAAAGCCATTGTTGTCCAAAACAACACTGGACTCCATTGACTTTTACTGAATAGTGATGGAAAGGGACACTTTCTTTTTTTTAGAAAAATCATCTTTTGTGTCCCAAAGAAGAATGACATGAATAGTTTGAAACAACAAGAGCACGAGTAAATGACAGAATGCTTTATTAAAAAAAAAAACAAAAAAAAACATCTGGTGTTTTAAGGAATCCAGGAACAATTACATTGATTCAAATAACATGCACCCAAATATTTTTGGTTTCACCTTTTGTAAACACTTTGTGTGGTTTTAAGGCAAAGGGTTTCCACACAATTTTCTAGTAAAGTCTTTTCTATTTTTCTAGTAGTTGGGTTACAAGAGTGTAGTACAGCATCTAAAGCATTTAACTTTCAAAAAACTATTTAAACCAACCTAAGTCATTTTGCAGACAGTTTAAGATAAACCCTGAGCCTGTTCAAGCTAGTGTTCAGCTGGGTAAAAAGTGAACAAGACAATTTTTATACCAACCAACAGACCAACCTGAAAAAGATGGAAGATAAAAAATGACGAGCAAAGTTTGACTGGGTTCAAACTGTTTTATAGTCACAGTTCAGGCAATAGAAGGATATCAGTTTTAATGTGAAGAGCCAAACTGAAGACTAAATGATGTACGAAACCAAACACTGGTGAACATAATCAATTATCAATGAATAACTACTGAAACAGACAACACGAACATAGGGCACAGTAATGATTGTATACTTCAAATGCATAGAAATGTCCTCCCATTCAGGAGTTCACACTTACGCCCCATTCACACGGGGCGTCAACGCTTCCCATTCACTTTGAATGGGTGACGTCAGGCATTGCCGAACTGCATTGTGGATCCGTCAGCGCCGCTGCAGAGGCGTTGCTCTTTGCAGAAGTTGGGACTAGCTCAACTTTTTAAGCGCCGACGGAAGCGTCAGCCAATCAGATCGCTGTATGCAAATACACCTGCTAGACAGTGGCCTATTGCTGCCTGAATTTCATTGGCTGACGCTTCTATGAGGATCGTTTCAGCCCCAACTTCAGACATGCCTTTAGTCAAGCGTTGACGCTGAAGCCCAGTGTGAATGGGGCGTTAGCTGATGATTGATTATAGAGCTTGTTTGGCATGCTGTCCCAGGAGAGAGACCTGAGCTCATACGATTTTTGAGCCCGGGGCTCCCTCCCGTTTGCAAGGCGAGAGGGGAGTTTCAGCTCAGGTATATCTCAAGAACTCCCCTGCTGTAGAAGCTAATGAACAGATAGTAATTGCTCCTAAGAGATAACTACTTACTAGAAGCATGTCTATGGTGCCGATTTGGATTAGTCAATTAACTTAAGTTGCATGTTTTTGGACGGTGGGAGGAAACCGGTAAACCCAGGGGAAACTTCACTTCCTAATCTGCAATTGCCTCTCTGAACATCACACTAACTGTACCCAAAAAAAAAAAAAAAAAAACTAATATTACTAATACTTCCCTTCTTAGACTTTACAGACCTGAAACTTGCCTATAGCACTTATTCATTGTTGCTCTTAGTTGTGTAAATTGCTTCCTTGTCCTCATTTGTAAGTTGCTTTGGATAAAAGTGTCTGCTAAATGACTAAATGTAAATGTAAATGTAAACCCACGTGAGCACGGGGAGAACGTGTAAACTCCACACAGAAAAGTCGGCTGGCTTGACTTTTACCAATGAAGTTCTTGCTGTGAGGCAACAGTGCTAACCACCTGGCCCCCGTGCCACCCGTATAGGAAAGGAGGAGGAGTAGGAGTGGAAGGGTTCTTCAAAACGGTGATGGCTGTTATATGGAACTTAGGGTATATATAGTGGCTTAGGAATCTTCTGATTGGTTAATCATAAATTAGATAATTCAGTACCTGCCGCAAGCAATCGTAAGCATGTAATCCTCTTTAAATTAGTTTATAAATAAACTTCACTTTATAAGGTTGTAATTATGTGCTTCTCACATTCAAGTGCATTGTAATCTGAAAAAAAAATAGATATAACATTCCATTCATTGATAGCCACACAAACAGTCCACTGTGCAAGGTCAATTCTGAATTTTCAGTCAAATATATGCTAGCGCTATTCTTCTGGCCTTCATCTTAAAATTAATCTTCGAAAGGTATCCAAATATCTCAGTAGTATTTATGATTGAAAGGCCATTCATGTCCAATTTCAGACTAGAGAATGCATATGTATTTTGATATTAGCAATTGCATTTGAGTGCAGCACATATGTTTAAAGGACATGTGATCCAAAAGAATCAAAGCAAAGAGAACATAAACATTACTGGTATGACATTATATAGAGTGAAAAATAAATGATTATTTATTGATAAAGGGATGGTTCACCCAAAAATGAAAATTATTTTATCGTTTACTCATCCCTCACTCATTCCAAACCTGCTGAGTTTCTTTCTTTTATTGAACACAAAAATGTATGACCTGTTATGGATTTCAATAACTTCTTTAATAGTGTTCAACTATATAAAGTTGAAGTTAGAATTTTAAGCCCCCCTGTTTATTTTTTCCCTGTTTTCTGTTTAACAGAGAGAAGTTTCAACACATTTCAACACATTTCTAAACATAATAGTTTTAATAACTTAATAACTAAATCTCAAATAACTGTTTTATTTTATCTTTTCCATGATAGTTTTCAAGACACTTCTATACAGCTTAAAGTGACCTTCAAAGGCTTAACTAGGTTAATTAGGTTAACTGGGCAGTTTAGGGTAATTAGGCAAGTTATTGTATAACAGTGGTTTGTTCTGTAGACTATCGAAAAAAAATTAGCCTAAAGGGGCTAATAATTTTGTCGTTAAAATGTTTTTTAAAAATTAAAAAACTGCATTTATTCTAGCTGAAATAATACAAATAAGATTTTCTCCAGACGAAAAGATATTATCAGACATGCTGTTAAAATGTCTTTGCTCTGTTAAACATCGTTTGGAAGATATTTAAAAAGAGAAAAAAATCAAAGGGGGGCTAATAATTCTGACTTCAACTGTATATTGTTTATATATTGCTTGTTTGTATTGTAGGCTGTGAGGACTGTAATTTTATCTGTGCTGTTACTGTATATCAAGAATGTTCAGCATAGTTGACAAAAACAAAAAGGGCTTGATTTGACTTGAAGAACATACAAAGAATTTTCATTTTGGGGTGAAATCAGAAATGTTTATATATTGTGTCTGTGCTAAAGTAATATTCATTGTCCTCAATCTTTAATTGTATCCACTCTCTAGCTTTAAAGATCAAAGTCAAGGAGATCTCCTACATGAATGGTGACACCAAGATCATTCCAGAAACCAAGACCAAGATGATCTACAAGACGAATGGTGGCGTCACTGACCATGACTTTAGGAAGACGGTGCTTTGGCTAAAAGATGGTCTTCAGTGTGTGTGCGATGAACTAAATGACATCAATGCTGCTTATTTGGTGATGGGCCAGAAGATGGATGGAAATTTGGTCATCACATCGGTGAAACGCTGGCAGAAGGGTCAACGAGAGTTTAAGAGAATTTCTCGCAGCATTCGCAAACTTCAGTGCTAGGATTTGTCCACTTGAATCACTAGAGTGCTCAAATGATCTTACAAAATGAACACCTGTAACAATCACACTAGATACAGGAAGGTTTATTCAAGAGCCTTCTGTCTGCTTTACCAGTGCCATTATGAGAAATGAATGGTCAGAGCTCAGGATTGAGAATGGTGGATCTTTCAAAAAGCACCTAGTATAGATTCAGCCTCACCAGTTAATTTTTTCCTCATAAGTTTTACTTTACCTGTTATATTTACTACAAAACATATTTGCTTATTTCTCTCCTTTAGGATAGTTAACTTTACAAAATAAAAGAAATAAAATAAAAAAAAGATTAAATTAAGATTAATTTTATATTATGTGGGCAAAAATCATGGAGAGACTCAGTTACTCAGTTCAATTAATTTGACTGTTCCATAAATTTCAGAGAAATTTCAAAATCCAAACACATTTATTCATCGTTTTCTTCATAAAACCTGAGATATTTCAGCCTTCCATTAAATGTCCACAAACGTTGATGCTTCAAAAAGTTCATGAAGACATTGTGAATCCAAGTCATTATCCAGTTATGTAAATCCAGTTAATCCATTTCTTTTCAAGAGATATTATCACTTGATGAGCAAGCTTATTTTAGGCAATTATTCTGAAAGCATGGAACTGACATTTATAGTGGAACAAACCTCACTCTTAAACTTAAAAAATAACACAGAATATTAACAATTTGATCCATATTTAAACTGTTCAAAGCAGCAAAGATTTAGATTTGAAATCTCAACTCACATAAAAAAGATCTTTGTTAGTGTTTCAGATATGAAGAGAATTTTTGAATGAAATATTTTGGAATTACATGAGGTATTTGGTGATAGAATTGTAATATTTGGACAAACGAATCCTTCATTTAGCGTCATTTAAATCAACTGCGCTTCCAGCTTTGTTTTGGCATTTGAGAAGGGTATTTTTTTCTGTTTGTACATCACAACACCACTGTACACAAATTAATGTATATGCAAAATTGATTTACTGAGCATAACAAGAAGTAAATCCAAAGGTTTAGCTCTTGAACTTAGATACACCTAAAAATGAAAATTACCTCATCATTTATTCCCCCTCATTTGAGTTTCTTCTGTTGAACACAAAAGAAGATATTTTGAAAAAGGATTACCATGGAAGTCAATGGTGCCATCTACCTGCAATTTCAAAATATTTCTTTTTTTTATTCAGCAGAACAAAGAAATTAAAATAGTTTGAACAGGTGAAGGGCAAAGTAAAATCTTGAACGTAAGATTTTGAAATTGGGTGAATATGAAAGAAGATGCCAGAAGATCAAATACCTGTCATTGGACATAGACAGTAGTACGTATCCTAAGCAATTCTGTTGGGTATTCTTATCTTTCTCATATCAAATATGATCAAAAACATACTTTACTTTAGCAATCCATTTTCTACATGGATCTGAATCTGCCAAAAGTGAATAAGTGAGAGTGCATGTGTGAGTAGTTTTGCTAAAAGTACTTTTTTATCAGCACAATGAGATAGCTGGCTCTACTCTCAATGTTTAAAAATATCCCAAGTGACACTAGCATATGAAACATGGTCATGTATGTTAATGTGAATGTTTTCATTTCTCCCCAGACATCTTTTAAGAAGGTCAAAAAAAATACATGATGCCTTTAACCCAGTGTTTTGCCTTCTTTACTTGAGCCTAAATACTGCACTGTTCCTATGTTATATCTACCCTTTGAAATACAATCAGTTGTTTTATATAGTTTTGGATTATTTCCTTATTGTGTCAGTTATATTATTAGCGTTATACTCTATTGGTCTGTGTCTTGTCATGCTTGCATAGTTGCTTGCTCTTTTCAGTTGTTTAGGCTTGAGTACTTAGTATTAGAATAAAATCACATGCTGGTAAAACCACAGAGCAGTTCTTTTCTCTCAGTCTCAGTGCTGCACTGTTACAGCAATGTTGATTCAATTGTATTTTGTTGTGCAAACTGATTTGGTAAATAAGTTTCATGATAATATCCAAACTTTTATGATACTCTGTAAATATTCAGATTTTATGCTTGTACATAGTTTCAACACCTGTAGCATTTGATGTGTTCCTCGCAGTTGCAATATGTCGTCATTTAATAAGTGTTAAGTACATTTATTAACACCCACCGCCATGTAATGTACATTACTATTACTATTAATGATTTGTATCGTTTTTCATCAGCAGTCACACAATACAAAGAGCAAATAAAAAACATAAAGGACGAAATTGTCTGAAATTGTGTATTGTTTTCCTAAAATACAGATTTGTTTGACTTTAGATTACGTTATATATTTTACAATACATGACACTGCCTGATTAATATACCACAAACTTTACAGACTAACACTGTCAGTCAGTTACAGCTGTATCTGTGCTTTGTAGATCCACCTATAATGATCTCAGAAATGTTTTATATATAAATATGTGTAATCAGTACTGAGACAATATGCATTTTTAATACATTGACTTAACAAAGGTAACATAATGACTTCTTTAGTCTGTCTTTGGCACTACATTTTTAAACAGTATTTCCTCTGAAAGTTTTTTATTTCAATTTATCTTTATTTCTATAGCACTTTTACAATGTAGATTGTGTCGAAGCAGCTTAACATAGGAGTTCTAGTAAATTGAAACTGCATCAGTCTAGTTTTCAGAGTTGAAGTTCAGTTTAGTTCAGTTCAGTTCAGTGTGGTTTGATTTTTACTGCTGAAAGTCCAAACACTAAAGAGCAAATCCATCAATCCGCAGTTCCACAAGTCCTAAACCAAGCAAGCCAGAGGCGACAGAAATTTCTCCAATTGATGAAAGTGAAGGCGCTACATCTACAACTACATCTAGGCGCCGGAGGCTGAAGAACTCTAGACGTCCATCGTGAAGAAGCTGCAGGTGTGAGTAGGTCCCTGGGGTTCAGACTGGCCCATGGAATCAATGCGAACACTTGTCTGTCACTGTGGTCTTTCAGGAATCAGTCTTTTCAAGATACAATCACCAGCTCTGCTCAGTGGTCAAAATAGATGTTTTAAAATGTTAGCATTATGCTAAGTCAAGCAAGCAAATTGCTTAACAGGCTAGCAACTAACTAAAACATTAATTTCTGCTGGTGTAGTCGAAACATGTTAGCAACATGTAGTAGGCAATAAAAAATAATGTTATAAAATATTATTAACATGTTAACTCCTGATAGTACAGTGTTAAGGGATGCTAAAACATGTTTTCCATCTGCTAACTTGTATATCACACATACTGTATGCATGCCTGTAAAGTTTTTTCAAAAGCATTTGGTGTGGAAAGTCTAGTTATGCTGTATTCAAAGATATGATAAAGTTTTTTTTTTTTTTTTTTTTTTACAAACATTCTACATCAAAAACCTTTTAAGGACTAAAAACATACCTAACATTTTACAGATGTCTCAGATGAGCAAATAGTCAACAAAATAGATACAATGAACACAATCTACTGTAAACATCTCTGAGATGTACGAGTGCATGAGGGAAAATAGTAACATGATGACCTGGATTTTTCATGCCAACGTTAAAGATTGTCGAACTTTACTAACAGTTTTGCTAACTCTGTGGCAAGAGGATTTTGGTTGTTGCATCAAGAACAACCTAATTTGAAAACTCAAAGAAAATAGGGTTGAAAACAAAAATTGCAACACAAAATCTATAACAATATCAGAACTACATTAAAAATCACTTTCTTACGGCACATGTACATACAAAAAATAATCAATTGAAATGTTTAGAACAAGAAGAATGAAATGAATATGCATTCGGTCAAAATTAATTGGAGGGTCAGTATTTGCAGTATTGTACTGGAAAACAGAGGGCTCTAGGGTCAAAGACTGAGCAATGTCCTTGAGCACAGGTGCCAAACTCAGTTCCAAAAGGGCCGCAGCTCTGCACAGTTTAGTTTCAACCCTAATTAAACACACCTGATCAAACTAATTGAGTGCTTCAGGCTTGTTTGAAACCTACAGGAAAGTGTGTTGGAGCAGGGTTGGAACTAAACTGTGCAGGGCTTCGGCCCTCCAGGAATTGAGTTTGACACCCATGTCCTAGAGTGTGCAGGCTGTTGTAAATTTTGAATATTCCATGCCATCTAGTGGCTGAACAGTTTTAATCTCACACTGCTCTCAACATTGCTCTATTACTTTACACTACTTTACACTTTTTTATATATATACAAGAAACTAATTGTAATTTAATTTATTAAAATAGGGATTACTGAGAGGACCACACTACTAATATTATTATTTTTTAAATTATTAATAATAATAATTTAATCCAGTTAAGCTTTAAGGACGAGTATGCAATTGTGGTTTTCTGTTTGTGCACTGAGGGAAATAAATGTTTCATTCTTTCATTATATTTCAAATTTAATGTATGTGTGTATAAAATTCTCCATTTGATCCACTTTAGCTACTCTTCAGGATTCTTTGATGAATAAAAAGTAAACAATCTGAAATAATATCATATGTAGCTTTGATGTTTCTCTGTCATTGTTGATTAATTTAATTTAGATTTTTCTTCATGAATGAAGTTACTTTTTAAAAGAAAAATATATTTAACGGTATCTAAATTGTTCTCGAGCAGCAAATCAGCATATATGATTTCTGGAGGATCAAGCGACATTGAATAAATACATACTGCAGTTAAATAAAATTACTCATACAGTAAATAAACTATTTACATAATTTGTTATGTCAAATAACACAATCAAATCAAATCATACCTTGGTAGCTAATCTAAATTAAATAAGATAATTAATAGCCTATTTAAAATTAACAGGGACAAAATTAAAGTAATAAAGATGTTAATCTTACAATACATATAAAAAATTAAAACAAAAAACATCAATAGTGCATAACAGTTTTAAAACTAACTTAAGTCAAAACTTACTATACATCTCTCTTTTAATTTTTTCTTTTTTTTTTGTCTGTTATTTTCTCTTTTACTTTTTGTTAACTGTCAAAAAAATCTGATAAAGTCTTACTAAAAACTTACACAAGGTGATCAAAATATGAATAAATTGTATCCCGTTTCCCGTTATTCAAATAATACTAAAATAACACTTTATTAAAAGCTAGTCGTGTATATAGGCTACTGTACGACACTGTATTGTTTATCGATGTTGGCATTGTTGTTTTGACCACTAGGAGACAGACATGCTGTGGCTCAAGTACATGTAGCTACTGACACTCACGTCCTCTTCCGGGTGTGTTTGAAAAGACTTTCACTGAGCTGTGGAGGGACTCGCAGCGTATCGAATGATACACAAAGCAGCTCAAACTCAAGCCGGGATTGTTTTTATGAGCAGAGTCGTGCAACAGCGAAGAGAACAGCGGTAATCGGTGTGCAGGTGAGTGTTGTTGAACACGATCAACTGTTGCATCGGGGCTCGTGTGTGATGATGACTGCAGACAGGCGTGATGGCTTCAGTGTGCAGGGCTGATCTTCTGTCTTCTCATATGCCACGGGGAAAAGTCATTAAACCAAGTTCAGTGTTTTAAACAGGTGAAATATTCTCTTATTGTCTTAAGACCATTGCGCTTATCTAAAAAGATGGGCGAAAAATGAATGTCTCCCATCCATATTATGGATCTGTAATATGTTCATCCTTACTGAAGAAGATCGCAAAAGCGGTATAGAGAGTTGAGTGTTTATTGTGTTTTGTAACAAATAGCTCGGCTGAAGTGCTTGAGGCAAAGGAAGTAACTCAATCGCAACTTTGTGACGTGCGAGGCGCAACAATGAAGCAACGCTGGGAAACCGAATAGCAGGAAGGAACGAAAAATGTGTAAATGTACTACGAAACTTGTGTTTGTGAAGCTGGTGATTCTAATGTGAACCTTATTTTGCTTTTAGGTTTGTAAATGTGTATTGTTTTTAAACATTGGAAAGTAGAAAAGCGTTTACGTGTCCATGAAGCGAGTTAATAAACCCTACTATGGCAAATGATTTGGTGCCTGAATAATTATTAGGTCATGTGACTGTGCGCTCAAATGAGAAGTACCAAGCGTGACCTAAGATGTTCGTGTGCGAAGCCTTCGCCATACTAAGTTTCATAACTTCTTGCCCATGACCTTTTTAAAGGAACAGTGGGTTTCCTGCAATTGTATATGGCCTACTTTTAATTAGATTCTATTTTCTATTACTATATTACTTTTCTGTTACTGTTTCTGTTTCAGGATGTCTAAGTAGGGGGAGAGCGGGACACAAAGTAACATTTTTGCTTTTGGCCAAATAATAAACAAAGTAATGGGGTTAGACAAACCATATTTTTTTTACCAACAGCACACAGGCCTCTCCTACAAATAATCACTCGTTGTATGTTCGCCAGACCTATGGTTTCTGTGCATTTGCCAAAAGTTAACACAATTAATTTAACTTTAAATTTACTTTTAATAGTATATTTCCTCAGTAATTAACTCAATTTGATGTTTTTTATTTTAATTGTATGTTTTACTTAACTCATGTTTATTTATTTATCTGTTGGATAAACATTTGTAATTATTTGCATTATTATACATTATTATATAACACATTTATTTGCATTATTAGCAATAAAATGTTTTTTTTCTATTAAAAATAATTTCTATTAAAAACATTTTATATAAAAAGTTCTCATCATTACAAATAAAATAAAACAAATAAAAATTTAGTTTAATTTATGTTCCACAGTGTGTGGCTTATTTGTAACACCCTGTTACAACTAAAGCCTGGTTTATACTTCTGCCTCAAGTGATCGGTGTGACCCACGGCGCATGCAACTCGCGTAGTTGTGCATTCATACTTCTGTTTCTGTTGCTCTGCAATAACACTTCCGAAACGCTAGCTGGCAATTGATGTTTATGTTCCTCTGTGTCGAGTTTCTTTGCTGGTGTTTTGTTTTTTCTGAACGCTTCCTTAAAGTACAAGTGGTTCATACTCGCTCATTTTGAGGCAGGAACCGGCGGACATGCAACAACTTTAACCATAAGGTAAACACAAAGCAACAGTCTCCATCTGGAGCTCCTTGTAAACAGTCAACACTTGTAAACACTCGCTCCAACGGACTCGTGCGGCTCTCGGTCCCGCCCACACTCGTAAACGCTTCCAAGCCGACCAATCACAGAGCTTGCTCTATGCGTCGTTGCAGAGTGTAGTTACAATTTTTGAGAGGTGCACCTCAGCGAGGGCTATGCGTCCACGCCTAGGCTGCGCCGTAGCATATATGTACGCTTGACGCAGAAGTATAAATCAGCCTTAACCCTGCTGTGCTGTGTTTTCCTCAAAACTGGCTAGCAGTCACTTTCTGCATCCTAATTTGCATACTTGTACTACGCCCTAAAACAGGGGTCACCAATGTCATTCCTGTAGGGTCGGTGTCCCTGCAGGGTTTAGCTCCAACTTGCCTCAACACACCTGCCTGGATGTTTCAAGTATACCTTGTTAGAGCTTGATTAACTTGCTCAGGTGTGTTTGATTAGAGTTGGAGCTAAAACCTGCAGGACACCGGCCCTCCAGGAACAAGTTTGGCGACCCCTGCCCTAAAATATACTTTTTTTGTGAAGAAAAAAATATATAGTTGTCTGTGGGGCTGTGCGATTATTCGAAATCGAATCGCAATCGTGATTTGAAGTGTTGCTATTAGCTAATCGGTTGAGGCTGTGATATAAAATGTATATTATTTAACTTCCAGCACCCAGAGCAAATGCGTGACTGCCGTCTGTGTGTGACAGTCTTACTACGCAATTGAGTGAGCTCATTTTCATTCTGACAAATCAGAATTGCGAAACCAAACAATGCGGAACGCCCACCATAAAAAGCAGGAAAGCGCAAACAAAGGGGATGAAAGTGTCTGCTGTTTCGAAAGCATTAAAGGGCACCTATGGTGAAAAATCTTGGACAGACATTTATGTAAGTATAGTGTATAGACCAGGGGTGTGCAAACTCGGTCCTGGAGGGCCGGTGTCCTGCACAGTTTAGCTCCAACCCTAATCAAACACACCTGCTTATAGATTTTTTGTGATCTTAAAGACACTGATTAGCATGTTCAGGTGTGTTTGACTAGTGTTAGAACAAAACTCTGAAGGGACACCGGCCCTCGAGGATCAAGTTTCCTCTACAGTCCAAAGACATGCAGTACAGGTGAATTGTGTAGGCTAAATTGTCCGTAGTGTATGAGTGTGTGTGCGAATGTGTGTGTGGATGTTTCCCAGAGATGGGTTGCGGCTGGAAGGGCATCCGCTGCATAAAAACTTGCTGGATAAGTTGGCAGTTCATTCCGCTATTTATATATTTAATCCGTGGATTGATAAGGGACTAAGCCGACAAGAAAATGAATGAATTAACTTTTCGTAGGTTTGCAAACGTGTACTTTTCATTGCATCTACCCTTAAGTTAAGCCGTTTGCATTTCTCGCAGTCACAGTACCTCCCTATGATCGTAACTAGGAGCAGCTGGAAAGTGCAACAGTCCGTTGCCTCACATGCGCGTCTCTCCATTTGAAGTAAAATAACGAACTTGCCTGCAGGTCGCACACCAGAAGCACTTCTCTGCGTGGCGCGACACTGTGCCATGCATTTTAGAATTCTAAACATAGGTTTCTATCAGGGTACACAAAACGGCGCTTCAAGTTGGCAGTTGTCCTCAGCGCCCAGCCACGATTCGGAACACTTCATGTTTCTGCCGCGTCACAAAGCGGCATCTGAATAGTTTAATTTTAAAAACATCCGAATGTGCGTGTCTGGTGTGCCGTGTCGAGGCTCAGAGTGGCACATCCGGTGCCTCAGTCAAAGTTAATTCAGTGTGCATAGTCTCGGTGTACACACTTGGCACTTTAAAATAGCACACAGTTGGTTGTAAAACTATACAAAGACACAAATGATTTTGTAGTCTCTGCTTGGTCTGTGTCCGAGTTGTACATGTACGGCTGAATGCTGGTCCTCTAACTCGTGTTGCTTCTCTCTGTCTGCCTGTGTCTGTTGCCAAACACAGAGCTCCGCCCTCTTGTTACATTAGGCGGGAAGTCGAAACTAATTTTCACGTGACACAACACACCCCTAAAACAGCGAGCTTTGTACACACCCCAAAATAACACTTTTTAACACATTATAATAAACAAATCTAAACTGTGTTTTGAATTAACCCTAAACTGGCACACTCAGAAGAACCATAATATTAATATTAAATCATAAAAAAGGAGTATACTATGTACCCTTTAATAGCCTAATTAATATTACAGAAAAACACCACGTCTGTAATACATTTTTCCTATATAACAAAATGAAGTAATTTGTAAGAGCTGTCAGAGAATTGCTGCCACTGCATGAGGAAATATAACAATAGCACCTTAAAAAACAACACGAGCAGCTATATGAGGAGTGTCTTGCTGAAAAGTCAACTAAAAGTACTGCCAGTTACATTCAATCTAGTAGCAAGCAACAGCAAAGTACAATGTCAGAGTTGTTTGCTAAGTTTTTTTTTTTATTAAGCTAGCACTCACTGCATTTTAGCAGTAAGAAGCTACGATACAGATTATTGAGCTGAAACTTGACTACAAAATTAAATCGCAAATCGAAATCGCAGTATCTGTAAAAAAAAATTGCAAATAGATATTTTCACCAAATCACACAGCCCTACTTTTAAGTGTATAAATATGCAAGCTTTGGGACACGCTACTTCTTAGTTAACAGATCGTTATGTTGCTTCAATCATCCACATTTCTTTTATATTTAATTTCCCACCTTATTCGAGAAGCAGCAGCAGGTTTATTTCCCATTCACAAGTCTTTCATGCAGAGAACTTTCTTCAGGTCTTTAGATAATTATGCATTCAGAGGTTTATGTCCAAAGGTCAGTATTGTTGTTGCAGATGAAATATACCACAGAAAACGTGATTTAAATATTTTCCGGTCATACAAACATCTTTACCCAAACCTCTTTACTTTATAGTTGGTCTTGAAAACCTTGCAAGCAAGCCATAATTAACCCTAAGCAAATATCTTAAAACTGTTACATTTTACCCAGTGTTACTTTGTGCCCTGCGCTCTCCTACATTTTCACAATTTACGGGTAATGCTTGAGAAATTTCCTTGTACAAGATTGTTTAACAATCTTTAAAACTAGGACACGTTTTCATTGCATGCAATAAACTTCAATTGTGTAAATGTCACAGTTGAAGCAGGATGATAAACTGGAGTCGCTTTGAGCATTGCTTTTTATATTGTTTGTATATGTGTGAATACATGTAGTACTCAGTTTAATATCTGAGCTATGTTTTTTAGGAAGCATTATCATGTGTAACTGAAACTATAAAGTCATTATATTCAGACCTGTGCTATGTTCAAGCAGTTTACCACCATTCCTTCCTATTCCC